CTGATTCGTTAAAAAGATACAAGATTTAGACTCCATCATTTTTCTCGAAAACTATTACTCAAAGACACTTATACATTCTTTGAATTGTATGTCTGGTGTCAGAAACTTTCCACGTGAGGCCATCCTAAACGTACATGATATCGTGAACTACATAGCATTTGCGAAACTTCTTTTCTTTATAACTTTTTAATAAACAACGAGCGCCGGCTAAATCCTTCTGAGCGTTACTCAGGAGGGTAACCTTGACAACATATGTCAAGCCCAAGGTTATTGGAGGTGGGTGTGTTAATCTAAATAATTACCTTTTTATGTTCTTACATTATTAAAAATTCTCATTTAACGCCATTTCATTTTCCGTTTCATATTCCTTCGAAATTTATATTTTTGGTTTCTCTAGATACTAATTCGTAATTTATCTAAGGTTTATTTAAATCGCCTTGCCGCGGTGAGAACAAGTTTATAGACTTACTCGTAGATTAGCTGTTAACAACTGTGTTATTAGACTGTTCCTATATTATACGTTTTTATTTTATTAATGTAAATTCTCGTTCTTACTCGTCGCGAGTACAACGTGTAATATTTATATCTGACGAGAATTCCTGATTCAGTTGTCGTAGGAATAAAACTATCGCACCCGCGACCGCACCACGCGAAGGGAGAAGGAAGTACATGTACATACGTATACCGTAAAAGTTTAGATTAAGGTGAAATTGAAATGACGCGAGTCTTCGGTTTCTTCGAAACTCTGTCGCAGTACGATCGACCGACTTTAAGATTTGCACTCGGCGCGTTGCAAGCGACAGGTATCCCGGTGCGCGGATCGCGATAACGTTACATGATACACGATTACGTTCCGTAACTTCTCGGTTGCTTGTACATACACGCCCGGAAGTTCATTCTCCGGCGGCTTGCGAATTCTCGGGTGGTAAACTCGAATTATTTTCGGATGCTAACTAACGGCACACGCTTAGATAGACGCACCTCTCTCCTGTTCGTACATATTTCACATGCTGCGGTGGAACCAGCGGCTACAACAATGATCGGTAATAAGATAACGTAGCGCATAGAAACGCTTGCGACAGCGTCTAAACAGAGATGAAGAAAAGAGGGACGGAGAAGTAAGGAAAAGCAAATTCGAGAGATGAAAATATGGCTTCTGTCATATTTAATGAGAACGATATAAATGCGATGGAAATTGGACAATTACATCAAAGGAGAGAAGTTACTTGGAACGACGTCTTTTTGCACGGCCGAACAATTGATTCCTCACCACCGTTAATGAACATACATATCCATGTGCTTACATAAATGCACGTAGCTCGTCCTCTTCTTCCTCTCCCTAATTAAAACACATACATATATTTTTTCAATGTGACTTGTCCTATATATCTCGTATGTATAACCGTATAGCCTATAGATTTATTTATACATACACGTGTAATCGTGTAAACACGTGCGCGCATACCATACGTTTATTGTCTATAAACCGCAGGCTGTATTTCGCACGTGTGTATGTACTTGAGAGACAATATGTACGTAGTATATCGACAAGAGACAGGCCCGGATAGCGTATATACCTGTAAGAATTTTTTCTTTCGTTGTTATCGTACGCAGGATGTTAACAATAATAATAACGACAGTAACAATAACAATTAATGATAACAATAGTAGTAATAATTTAGCAGACACGCAGTCGGTTCTTGGCGATGATCCCAAGCGGACAATGCATACAATAAAATTTGTGATAAACGGGAATTGGACATTCGTCTGCGCTTTGCAAAAAGGAAAAAAGAAGAGGAAAAAGATTTGTGACCTTCTCGAGAAATTTTATAACGTATACGCGCCCACAGAATTTGTAATCTAGTGTTGCGACGCCGGTCCAACGTATTCGATTTATATCCCTGACTTCCAGTTTCGACCCTCCGCGGAGGTAAATGATGCCATTTAATCAATCGCGCCGGGAAGGAGCGGATTAAACGTGGCTTGCTTTTTTGCCGAGCTCGTCGGACAAAAAACGAGGCAAATCGCGGTCGTTTGCGGCGAAAAATTACGAGCAACGCAAATGTCACGTTTGACGTCGATCGATTCCACTGATATAAAATCTGCCACTTGAACGAATTGAAATTTCTAATTATTTATATCATTGTTATCTGCATCATTGAAAAACAAAGGTGAAATGTCCTTCATAAAAATTGAAGTACGTCATATTTATATAAAAAGTTTTTATCTTAAGACATCACACACACGAATGTACGATGGGAACATATTTTATATCCCGTGCTAGATATCCAATTGTTCGCATAAAGGCAAACAAAGCTTAATGCGTAAGGCGTCCTCAAGATATACAGAATAATTTTTTTTAAATGCTGATATTTTTTATTATTTTGACAAACAGAAGGAATACAATTCGTTTTCTAGTCAAAAGTCAATTTGATTTCAGCAAACATTTCAAACAACTTTTTCATTCCTTCAGTTCTTTCGACATTGACTGTTTGAAAAACGCGACACAATCAGATCTTGAGAATATTTATTATTACAAGATGTTCGAGATCGATAATTTAAAGATTTAATTTTTCCGATTAAGGTAAAAAACTAAAGTTATATTACTCGCGTACGTTTCTTCGTGGTTACATCCAGGAGGATATCAGGATCATTATCGCCACAAAAAATAAAGAATGGATAAAATGATTAACACTTTTTTTATCGAACGTTATGACCGGTTTTTGAATGCAGTTTCGAACAAATCGAGTAGTTGTACTTGTGCGCTCTTTGTACAAATACCCCGTAACGTGATCATATCAATGTAACTTAGATTTACTTATAACATATACGTACATTATACAGCTATACA